CATGCTCGCAACTTTAGACATTTCTTAGGATTGCGTGGATCAGAGCTCACCACCCGAACGTTCATCAAAATGGACGAAGCAGGCGAGCTTGAACAGGCGGCACATGCCGTAGGCATGGTTCCAGAAGCCTCTTTGCCGAACAGGTGGCCCCACAATGCCATCCTCGAGAGAGATGTTCGAGAGGAGAAGGAATGTTGTCGCACTATTCACCTCCAATCTGGTCTTCCCTATGAGTATCACACATATAGCTATCCATATGCTTGCCTTTCAATGTCATTCGACAAGCCTTCAATAGCTGACCCCGACAAAACCCAATGGGAGTCGCTTACTAGGAATAAGTTTGATGGCATGAGGTTATGTTTTGGTCAGTTAGTGTATTACCGTAGGAAGTCACCCACCAAAAGGACTTTGGAGCCCAACATGTCACCTGGTCTATTTTTGGGTTGGAGGATTGATCCCGGTTTCCGATATAGAAATATCTTAAGGGTGTTAGATTACCAAGAGTATCGCACTAGAGGTGGGAATTCAGCCGTTGATGTTCCAGAAGCAGAAATCTTTGTCCCTGAAGGTGATCCTGTTTTTCCAGTAGGTTTTTCACGCCACCAAGCTCTCATCAGGGGGGATAACCCAGATGATCTTAAGTTGCCTGAATATGCCTTAAAGGATGTGCCCTTCCCCAAGGAGGGCGGAATAGCCTCACCCTCTACACCAGGTCTCAAAAGTCGTTCTGTTTATATAACCGTAGACCGTATCCTTAAGTGGAAGGAGACCCCTGGTTGCAAAGGCTGCACTGGCCATTCACGTACGCACACAGATGAGTGCAGAGCCCGCTTCTCAATGTTGGTTGAAAAAGAAAAAGAAGCAGAGAAAGAAAAGAAAGCTCCACCACCTGAAAGTGAGACAGAAGTAGAAGGTGAGGAAGTATCTGATCCTATTCCCTCACACCTCTCCCTGGAGGATAAAGAACTTTTCGAAGAAATTTTCATAAGAGGTGAGGTTCCAGGGTCAGCCGAACCCAGTGCTCCGCCTGAGCCTGCTGTTTCTGTTTCTGGTGTAGCTATTCTCCCTCAAGTTGCCAATCGATGTTCCGACCTGTGTCAAAAGTCGCTGCCTGTTTTTGGTTGCCCCGCTGTAGGTAAGCCAACTAACCGCGATAATCGTAGGAGCCGGAAAGCTGCCAAGAAAGCTTCCAGACCCAATGCCAAGTCAACCATGTTTGAATTTGCTTGTTCTGAGGACTCCCAGATGAGTTTTACTCACCAAGAATATGGCATTAATCATGTTAGACTTTGTAGGGATAGGATGGACCTGGGAGATGAGTCACAATGTGAGCAACTAGACTATCAGATAGATGAAGCCGCTAAGGTTGCACCTCCACATATGTGGGCCTCTATCCCTTGCACATCCGGATCCCCTTGGCAGTACATCAATAGGAAGAGGGGTGGTGCCGCATTCATTAGGAAGCTTGCCCACCAGGTCAAAGAGTCCAAACGGTTGTTTAAGAGTTTTTCCAAACGCGCTGAAAGGGTTCTCAATCATGGTGGTACTGTAACGTTTGAGTGGCCAAGACCTTGCTCTGGCTGGAAAAGGCCTGACGTTGTAGCATTCTTTGAGAAGCATCCCCAGTTTATGACCGTTGGTTTTGAAGGGTGTACCGTAGGTTTAACCGACAGAAATGGTTATCCCATCAAAAAGCCATGGAAACTCAAGACCACTTCTCCCCGAATTGTAGAGGCGTTTCAAGATATGCGGTGTCGATGCCAGCAACCTCATTCCAGATGTGAGGGAGCTGAGACTACTCGCTCCGCAATGTATCCGCCCCAAATGACTAGTTTAATTGCGCAAGCTTTGTATCCCTCAAAATGTGCCCAGCAGTCCGTTCCTGCTATGCCTTGCCGACCGGCAACCAGCGAGCCTCAACCCCATAGGGAAATTGAGCAGCACCTTAAGCACGTATCCCCATTAGCTGGTTTTGAAGATTTAGCCCTAGCTGTTGAATCAGACCCCACTGCTAATAGGCTGGTTACAGAACTTCTTGACCATGAACAATTGATCGCCCAAGCCTTCCACCTGGAAGACCCTAAGGCACCAACGCCTGAGATCAAAGCAATGGTCACTAAGCTCTTGTCCCGTGCAGAGATGTTGTCTAATCCCAAGGCCCTCGAGGCAATCCGCGCCGAAGCCGACGGTTTGGTTAAGGCTGGTACTTGGGATCTTGGCTCGGTCCGCGAGAAGGAAGATGTACGCAAAGAAGCTAAGGCTTCAGGTGTATCAGTGCACTTTGGTCAACTTATGACCATCGCGTCCATTAAATTCTACGAGCTTGCAGACCACCTTCACAAAATGAAGGGGCGCATCGTGTACAGAGGGGACTGCGCAAAGGACGAGCATGGTGCAGCCGCGGTTTACCAAGAACTCGGCGCAAATCCCACCTCCGTCCAAGGGCTAAACGCCTGCCTGGCGTACGGGTCGCTGCCGGGTAACCGCGCGACGGCTGCAGATGCAGTCAAAGCTTACGTCCAAGCACTGTTATCTTCCAAATATAAGACTTGGATTGAGCTTCCCCCGGAGCTCCGCCCTAAGTATTGGAAACAACAGTTTGTTAAGCCCGTAGTCCTCTTAATTAAAGCCTTATACGGTCATCCTGATGCCGGAGGCCTGTGGGAACAACACCTGAAAGTCATCATCAAGAACCTTGGTGGACAGGAAGTTCTAGAGTACCCAGGAAATTTTTACTTTCCAGATACAAAGTTACTTTTGTCAACTTATGTAGACGATTTAACTCTAGCTGGCCCCGCCGACCAGCATGATGCATTCTGGAGTAAGCTAACTTCTGTGGTAGACATAGAACCCCCAGAGCCCATCTATAGGATTCTTGGACGCAACCATGTTGTTACCCAACTCTCCAAGACCGAAGGTCATGAAAAATGTGCAGCCTTCCAAGCCCAAACTGGCATGGTTTTTGATATGGCAGACTACGCTCAGCAGACCGTAGACTTGTATAAATCAATAACTGGTGTCACCAAACTCAAGCATGCCACCACGCTATTTCCACCTGAGGGATCCATCACCATTGAAGATGATGAAACTAAAGGGGAACTAGCTCCAAATGCATGTAAGATTTTGATGAAAGCCCTTTGGTTAGGTAGACTTGCACGTCCCGACATCATCAAGCCTATCAATGATCTGGCCACAAAAGTCCAGTCGTGGTCCAGGGGGGATGATAAGAAGGTCCTAAGATTAATCCAGTATATAGCCTCAACCCCACACTACAGGTTAGTAGGTACCATTCAGGACAAGCCTGAAGACCTAGAGCTCAGACTGTTTGTCGATGCCGACTTCGCCGGCGACAGATCCACTGCACGCTCAACCTCTGGTGGCTTTCTGGTTTTAACTGGCCCTAGTTCCTTCTTCCCACTTGCATGGATTAGCAAGCGTCAAACATCCACTTCTAGATCGACCACGGAAAGCGAGGTTGTTAGTTTAGCCCATTCGCTTTATCAAGAAGGCTTGCCTGCCTTACAGTTATGGGAGCTGTTACTTGCACGCTCCGTAACCCTTAAGGTCCACGAAGATAATCAAGCAACAATCCTAGTTGTGAAGAAAGGATATAGTCCCAAGCTTCGCCATATAACTAGAACACACAAAGTTAATTTGTCTTGCCTGTCTGAAATCTTCAGAGATGACTCTGCTGAGATAGAGTACACCCACACCGATGATCAGGCGGCAGACATATTCACCAAGGCATTGCCTCCACACAAATGGGCAGCAGCACTAATCCTTTTAGGAATCCGTACTGACCTTCCCTTAGACCTTAAATCCAAAGCCTAGGTCGCTGTGAACGTCCGTTCACGCGACAGTAGCTGCTTAGGATACTGCCAATGCGCAGTGCGTGTGGAACAGGCGAGGGGGGAGTTGAAATATACCGACCCCTGAGCCCCACTATGTATAGCATAGGTAGTAGGTCCAGTGTAGGTAGTTATGCCTTAGCTATGAGTCCAAACTGGTTTCTAAGTATTTACACCCGAATGTAGAAACCTTAGTGCACACTCCACCTAGAAGCGTTAGGTAGATGTTGTAGCCTTAGTTAGAAGTAGGTAACCTCCGTATCCCAACAACTACCGGGGTATGTAGTAGGTTGCGCTACTGATGCTTTAGGCTCAAGTGCCTGGTTAGAAAAGGCGCTTGTCTTCGTATGCAGGGTTTACCGGATCGGGGTTCCTCCTTTTGGGTCTCTGTTCCGTCCCCCTGTTTGACTACTATAATATAATATAATATAATATATAATATAATATTACATAATATAATATAATATGATATAATATAATATAATATAATATAACATAATATAATATAATACAATAATATAATAATATAATAATATAATATAATATAATATAATATAATATAATATAAATATATGTGCCACAAGCAACCAAAGTTGTGGCACTATTGACAACCCGTTTTTGAGCCATGCTGATTTGACAAAAGAATGACTTCTGCATACTCCTACCATCTCCTACTATTGTGTGTGTGTGTGTTTGTGTATTTGCGTCAAAGTCCGGTACATCTCTGACAATCAAGTGGGGTGGTTGACTGTATTTTGTTTGGCAATTTGTGCTTCGCTCAAAACGATGTAGCCCCAAAATTTCAGGCTTGGATACTACGTTGGATGCCCCAAATGACGAAAATTGCCCATTCTTCAGGATGATTTTTTTTGACATGTTTGGTTCACCATATCTTCCATGCTCAAAAAAGGATGATATACCCAGATTGAGGGACGGTCATTAATCCATTCATAGGGCTAGTTATATACCCATGATGATCATTATTATTATAAGGTTCATAGGAATTGATATACCCACGAAAAACGATTTTGCGCAATGCCCTTAAACAGATATAGAACGATAATGAAAGATATAGAACGTCATTTTTCAGCCTTTCTATGTTAAGGGAATTTTCTACTTTTCTACCATGTTGGGATGAATGGGATGACGCAGGTTGGATTGCTCCCGATCTCCAAGCTGCTGGACGGTCGAGCTCCTGATCGTGTTTCGGACCAGGGGCCGAACACCGGGCACCGTGTTGCTTTTGTTGGACAATAGCAGACCAGTAAACACCAAAGAAAGCACGTTTATATGCGTAGAAATGCATGTTTATGGCAGATTGAAGATTTTAGAGTTCGCATGGAATCGTCTGTGTCCAATCCTCCTTCCTCCTTTTCCTCCTATGTGTATGGGTCAATACCTATGGTGGGGATGCACATCCACAACTATTTCAAGTTCAGGGCTTTGACCCAAAGCCATATTATATTATGATTACTATATTATAAATCTGTCTGAAAATAGGCTACACACCATTGAATCCAGCGGTTTTAAAAAACGCATTTTCCCGCACTTTATTGGGGCAAATCATGAACATGTGGTGCCTCAATTGGTGGTTGGACATCCCAATTCTTGTGGTAACAAGTTCCATTTATAGTATGTCAGTGAACCAATGTTGAACATGGTAGAAAGTCCCCGTTGATACCTCCAATTCTTATTAGTTGAAATCTTCCCACAATCTTCCCCTTGGAGGATCTTTTTGGTGGTCAATATGTTGAACCCAACCGAATCCTCCACAGGAAGTTCTGCAAGAAGGGGATCCAATTACCGTCTATGTGGCAGAGGCAGAGCGTAAAGAAATATCCAGTGAGCTCCGGGGTGTATTACATTTGGGAAATTATTTAGGAATATCCATATGTCAGACACAGATGGTGTCATATATGCATGCGCAGACTGTAGAACATGTTATGTGATATTATGTGATATTATATGATATTATGTGATATTATGTGATATTATGTGTACACATTATATTATAATATATATATATTATATATGTAATGTATACATATATATATATAAATTAAGCAAACAATACAACGTGTATGTATGTCTATTATCTGTATATTCAGGTTCTTCAAGGTGGATTTGGGCGGCTAATTTTGGCTTCCAAATGGTTGAGACACGGGACATGCAGAGTCGCAGCGTCTTAAAATTTCAGCCCTATGGGACCACAGATTTGGGGATGGGTCAAAACCTATTAGTATCAATTTTAATGGGATGAACATCCATTTACCAGCTGTTTTGTGGTTCACTAGGTACCAGGGTTATGACTCATAGCTATTTTAGTGTATGTTTAGTATTAACATTATTAACCATCTAATTTTTTTTGGGTACCTAATTTTGACCCCCAAATAACACAATGATTTGCCATAGTTTGATCAGGGGCCTTTGGACACCCACAGATGCTGCATCGCAGCAAGGCAGCATCTATGCATGTGTATCTATAGTCTATGTACGTATATCTATATACATGTATGTTGTATATTTGTATACACATCTGTGTTTACATATATTTACATATCATGAAATATCCGCATACACAGATATGTACGTACACGTACATATATACATATACATATGCATATACATATACATATACATACACATACACATATACATAACTTATTCCAGCCCAACCCGGACCCGGACGAGGTGATCAACCCTCAAGAGCCTAGAAGCCGCGACAGTCCGATGCTGAGGGAAGATGGCTGATTTTACTGGAGATTTTCCAATGAGGACTTTCCCATGAAACATTCAATGGATTGGTGGGAAACTCTACAGGAAACCAGGATTTTCCCTTGAACATCTTGAAAGAATGGGGTTTCCTGTGAAAGTTTCCCTGAAACGAATCCATTGAAACATGAGGACTATTTCAAGGTTTGTTTGGTGTTTGATGTTTGAGGGGGGTAGATTAGTTTTGTTTTTGAGTCCGATTTTTGTTTGCTTGGACCGTTCATGGACTTGGGGGCATGCTGGAGCATCGTGGGGTCTTCTAGCTGTTGCAAATGCAACAGCAGGCAACAGTTTTGAATGATAAGAAAACTTCATGCTGGATTTGACATGGGGTACGCCGGTACGCCTTTTTTTCTTGGACAACAACCATGTGTGAAAGTAATGCATGCAACTCCTGTGATGTGTTTCTCGTTGGAGATGTCTTTCAGCTGGGTTCAAGGCAAACTTGTGCTGGCCGGGCACAAGAACAAGGCCTGACAGCCCTGGCAATGTCAAAGTCTACCAGAGATGCATCATAGACACATGATCATCATAGTTACCCTCTGGTAATTTAACATAACTATTGAAAATCACCATTTTCAATGGGAAAATCCACTATAACTGGTCGTTTTCAATAGCCATGTTAAATTACCAGAGGGTAATACCAGAAATGCTTGGGATCCCAGGTGTTTTTCAGTTTTTTCAGCGGCCGCCGCAGATTGTGAATCTAATGCAATTTGGCAACCGCTCCAACATCGAGGATGTGAAGGCAGGAAAAGTTGGACGGCAGGGTGGTTGGACATATGTTGGACATGGATGATTCACGTGGTTCACACTTAAAAAAAAAAAACAACTAGAATATCTATCGAAACGGTCAGTTTCAGTCAATTTCAGTGGGTATATAACGAAAAAAGGAACGAACAAAACGTGTGACAGCAGTCCAAACGTTGGAAATGATGTTGGAAGGATTTGAGGAAACTTCAAGTTAGCTTTCAAGACACGTCCATGAATGTGGTTACGTGTATTGGAGTGCAACACCAGGCGGTCGCTGAGGCGCAAAAGGTGCAAATGGGAAAATGAGGATTGACCATTGCATTTAGGGATAATGTGGGTAAAACAACAATAAACCACCCACTTGGGAATGGTAAACATACCACCTATTTGTGGTGATTTCGGGGATGGTTGATGACATTGTTTTACCCACATTACTCAATGTTGATCTCAACCCTCTGCCAGGAGAAGGTGTACTACAAAGGTCTGGTCACAGCTGTGAAGGCCAAAACAGCGACTTACCTTTTTCGCCGTTGACCACAGATAATGTGGTAAACCCACTAATAAACCATCCCCAAGTTATCACTATGAATGGGTTGTACTGTAAAGATCATCCCCTAATGGTAGGTTTACTGTTGGGTTCACCACGGTTTGTCTATGTTTGGTCGGGTATCTGATGTTGATCCGGCCGCGTCGCCGTTTGGCCGGCCTGCAGAACGTAGGTTTGTTGGGCGAGGGATCATATCCTGCAGCATGTGTCAGCATTCAATACACCAAAATCATCCAAAATCCAAAATACTGGTGACCCGAAAGAAATGGTGACCCGAAAGAAATGCACTCTGAGAATGTGTTCTCAGGGAAAAATCTGTAGGAAACCATCGGAAATCCCTTTTTTTTGGGCGGGAAACCCATGGGTTTCCTCCAGATTTCTGCGAGGACATCGGCGTGGTGGTGGCCTTCCGAATTCCAGACGTCCCAGGCATTACAAGTGGCCTTGTCTACAAGACGGAAGTCCAGGCACAAGGGAAACAAAGGTGAGACATGGAGGATGCCTGACACCTAGAAATGGGAAATGAACTTCAAGTATGACTTAGTATGACTTTCCACATCTTTCCACAAAGTTTTATCATGCTTTATCAAGATTGCAGTACCTGGTATTCTCGAAGTAGTTGTTCCAGCATTTTGTTTCACAATTCACAATTTTCTTGTGCAATCTGAAATCAGAACGTAAATCAGAACGTATGTAGACGGCGGAGTATCCTCCAATTTGGCTTTGTCTGAAAATAGGATCACTATAGTTTATTGCAGTTTCTCCACACTTTTTCCCCTCAAAAATGGTTATTTGGGAATATTTGGGAGAACACCACATTTTCAGCACACCAAGCGAGATGAAGTTGGGATCCCCATTTCGGTTGGTCAACCCCCAATAAACCCCGCTGCGAACTGCGCAGGGCGCTCCGGACATCATGTCAGAGGTCCAGGTGGGAACGGGAACAGGCCCAAAATCGAAACGAAAGTCCATGGGAAGAACCTGGAATATGGATATACATTCATATACATTCCGTATCTACTATAATTATCTATAATAATATGTAAATTATATATATATATATTATATTAATATATATTATACATATAGGGATATATTGGATATTACAATACACATAAATACGTCAAGCAATTTTTCAAAGGGTCAACATGTTCTGCCGTTGGGACTTGCAGCGACAGGTCCGAATCCTTGAGGTACTGATAGAAAGTAGAAGGCGACAGCAGCGACCTCAGCTGATTTGGATCACGTTGCAGATGGTTCTGAAGATGGGCTGTATCCTGAAATAAATATATATATATATACACACATATATATATAATATACAGATTTATATATACATTATTCATTCATTATCCATTGATTATCTGTTTATATTCTATACTGGGGCATTCTCATGGGGAAAATGATCATTAACCAGTTGTTGGGGGGTCAACCTGGTAGACGAACCCAAATTTCTGCTGGAATCTCTGCTTGCCACTGCCAGGGTCAAACTGTCGATGCGAGACGAAGACCCACTGGCAGGTGCACCATGGCAATGGTTCAAACATGAGCTTGGATGGTCATGTTGGGCAGTCACTGTATCATCCAACTCTTTTTTGGAAACCAATTTGGAGACCTATTGTACCATACCTATGTATATAGATATAGATATAGATATGGATATATGGATATATAGATATAGAATGAGATAGATATAGATATTAGATACAGGTACAGATATAGACACTGATATATAGATATGTAGATAGCATTAGATAGCATGATATCCGTTTGGTTCTTTCTGGGGCCATTTCCGTCCGGGTGTGAGCTCATTTCATCAGGGCGTGCCGCCAGATTTGGTGACTTCAGAGATATGGTGGAAAAGAGTCTTGGCTGCGGACGGCGGAGATCCCAGGATTTGACACAGCGGAATTCAAGATCCATATGGATGACTACAATAATTGTATGGCTATATTATATAACGCTATATATGGATTGTTTACCTATGAAAATTAGAAGAATTCAAACCATGATAACCATCAAACATCATCAGAAACATCATCAGACAAGCTTTTTGGATTCAGATTCCCGCCTGATTAGGACTGTGAAAGGCAAAGTCACAGGCGTCGGGTGGGTGCTGGTCCCATTTTGCCCAAAGCCGATAGGCCAAAATCATCTAGAGGGTTTGTCTGAAAATAGGATCCCCATGGATACTCCAAAATCTGATGGTTGCTCATCATTGTCCCTGTTTTTGAAAGTGCTATATGGATCTATATGGTGGTAAATCCTCCATTTTGGACGCCATTTGTTTGGCTTCCTGCCATCACAGCGGCAAAAAGTTGAGCTGCAACGCATTTAAATTTCATATCAACCCCATGTTCATGAGCAAAAACTATAACTACGGAAAACCATGGATCACTTTCCTAGTCGAGGCTCTAGATGAGGTAGTTTCCGATGCATTCTCTTTGGTCAGATGGCATGGCACGATCAGACCAAATGCGTAATTATGATCCTGTTTGAATAGGTGCTGTGACCAGCATCTATGAACATTTGATGACGTTTGCAGAAGGAAGATCAACTGGATCTAGAATATGTTATTGGAATAGAGCCTTCACTTTCACGGTTTTTCACATATGTTCACTATCTTTGGCCTTCCTGGTGACATTTCCTAGTGAGCACAATGCTGTATTGCAACGGTGACCATAGGAAGGCCGTGACCCTTTCAAGCTCGCCGAGAGGTTTCCAAGACTATGGTGCCTTCGTCGAGGCGCTGGGTATAGCAATTTGGATTCTCTGCATTCTCCAAAAAGATCCAAAGGTTTATCATATTCCACTGAATTCGCCTCAAGTATATATATATATATACATTATATATATATATCATATATATACATATACATATATATATGTGAAACCAGCTTGGCGTGAGCACCATTGACCAAACATGACTTGCCTGTTGCACATTTCCTGTCAGGATCGATGCATATCCGATCTAGCCTTTTGGCACGAGATCCAGCCCTTACGGGCCCCGTCGTGTGCGGAAAAGCATGCGTCCGTTGCCACAGTGAAATTCACAGTGGTAGGCGGAGCCTGACATGGCGACTGGGGACGTTCCCAACCAAGGTGGCAGGGAGCCACCACCTCCTAGCTGGGATGGCACGGATCCATCGATCCAACTACCTCTGTATGAGAGAAACGTCAAGCTCTGGCAGTATGAGTCTGAAGTAGATGTGAAAAAGCGTGGGGTTCGGTTGCTCCGGAATCTTACTGGGACAGCTAGAGCAGTAGCTGATGGCATGGAGTTCGATGAGATTGCTGGTGAGAAAGGGGTAGAGAATTTGCTTGCTACTCTTCGCTCACACTTCTCACCGCACTTGGAACTGAGCCTACCAAGGGCATTCGAGCGAGCCATCTACGGCAATCCCAGGGGAAGCAAAGAATCAATTCAGGAGTACATCATCCGCGTGGAGCGGGCATTCTTCTTGCTTGCTAAGGAAGGACTTAGCATGGATGAGACTGCCAAGGGCTATGTGGCGTATCGACAAGCGTCGCTGACGGAGGCGCAGGATTTGAAGTTCTGCACATGGAGCAAGGGACAGTATGACTGGAAGACAGTGGTGGCGAGCCTTCGACGTTTGGAGTCTGTAGTACCACCACGGTCCTCAGGAAACTTCATGCAGGAGGATCGAGAGCTGGAAAGCGAAGAAGTGATGACTGAGCCCTTTTTGCAGGACACCGAGGACCTTTCCGATGAGGAGCAGTACATCCTGGTGGAGGAGGGAGATCTTGATAAGATCTATGAGGAAAGTGAAGCTCAAGTAGCATTGGCTACGTACCAGGAAGTGCGAAGAGCCATCAACGCACAGCAGAAGAACCGGCAATACTTTGGTGGCAATCGAGGACGGGGTCCGCAAGGCAAAGCCGGCGGAAAGGGCTCCGCGCGGCGCAAGATCCACATCGAGGAGCTCAAGCTGCGTACTCGATGTGGGAGATGCGGTTTGATTGGGCACTGGGCTCGAGAATGCACCAACCAGCCCGACCAGAGAGGCTTGCAAAGGAGCTCAACTCAGGCGTCTACGGCAAGTTCAAAGGCTGGCAGTCACGCTCCAAGTCAGCAGAGCTGGTACGTGGCGCTTGGAGAGAGCACAGGTTCCTTGCAAGAAGTTGGAAAGTGTTTTGGTTTTTCGTGTGGGGGTTTTACACGAAGTAGTTGTGAGGAATTTGAATGGGTCAAATCCTTGGAGTGTCAGGAGAGTGAAATGGGGCATGGTGATGGTCTGAGTTGTCCCCATGTAAGTTTGAATAGAGAGCTTGAGCCACCAGACATTTTGTCACAGGGTGCAGCCTTTTTCATTGGTCTTGCGACCGATCCAGCATGCGCTGTGGTGGACACGGCAGCACAAGACGGCCTGATAGGCCTACAGGCACTTGAGAGATTAAAAGAGGAGCTTGCGAGACAAGGGTTGCAGGTAGCATGGACTGGTAGGCAAGCACGTGCGCATGGAGTTGGAGGTGCAGCAAAAGTTGTTGGCATAGTAGCTATACCTTTGGGCATTGGTGGCAGATCAGGAATTCTAGAGGCGACAGTTGTGGAAGGTGAGGTACCACTTTTGCTGCCCATCAAAATGCTCAGACAGCTTGGAGCCATCATAGATTTGCCTGCTTTGTGTATTCGTTTTTCAAGTTTGCAGCGAACAATTCCTTTGAGTGTTTTGCACAGCGGTCATGTGGCCATTGAAGTGATCGATTTTGGAAGAGAAGGTTTTCAGTTTGAGTTTTGCGAGGGAGCACCTTTTCGAGAAAGCGACTTTCGAAAACCTGTTGGCCCAATGCCCAGTTCCGACGGTGATGTTTTCTCATCTTTCGTCATCCTCGACGTTTGCCCATGGCGCTGAGCTCACTCAATGCGCCGCGCCTGCGCTTGCAGCGACCATCTGCGGCGCCAGAGGCCGAAGCAGCGGCGCCTGGGCATCTTCACAATTCGAAAAGAGCGGCAAAGCACTGGAGAATCTTGCTGGACAAGATCGTGGTGGTTCAGCAATATCTTGGATTAGAGGAATCGGTGCAATTGTGGCTGCAGCCGGAGGGCACGAAAGCGGCTACGCTCACGTGGTCCTTGGAGCAACTCGCCGAGCACATCGCTCATGCAACCCCACTTCCAGCATTGAAGAGCAAGGTGGCTGCAGTGAAGCTGAAGGAGGACTGCACCCACGAGAGCGATCGGCTTCAGAGAGGATCAAACCAGTGGGCGGCATGGGTCACTTGTCTGGACTGCCACAGCCGCTGGGCTTTACCAGCGCCGCCAAAGAGTCCAACTCGTGCAAGAAAGTCAGCTTCGAAACCAGCGCAGCAGATGACCAAGCCGGAGGACGAGACTCAACAAGTCATCATCCAGGCGCTGAAACAGCAATGCGAGAAGCTCAGGAAGGATGGAGAGATTCACAAGAAGCACTTGGCAGAACAGAAGGCATCAATGGGTCAGTGGACAGCAGAGTTGCAGCAGCAAGTAGCAGAGGATCAGAGGCAGATGCAGACCGAGCAGAGACGGCAGCATGTGGAGGTGCTCCAATTGAAAGAAGCGCTCGAGGTGCGCGAGGTGATGATGACAGAGTTTGCATCAATGGCGATGGGCCAGGAGTACCAACGCAACAAAGGGTATCACGACTCAGAGATGTACGACTATGCCAAGGCCAAATGGGAGAATCAACAGGAGGTGGCCAGAATGGAGGCGTTGCAGAGAGAGAACGAGCAGCAGAGAGAGAGAGCCCAGATGGAGGCACTTCAGAGAGAGATTCAGAGAGCGAATCAAGAGGAGAACAGAAGGTTGGCAGCACTGGCAGTAGCAGAGACAGTGGAAGTCCCATCGGAGAACGAGTGGGATGCATCGATGGCGGAGGAGACCCAGGCCTCGGGATCGCAGAGAGCCCGAGTGAGGAATCCGTCGGCACACAAGAGCCGAGGGACAGCCAAGATGAAGAAACATGGATTCGATTGAGCCAACGAGGAGGAGTGGCTCAAAAGGTCAAAGCTCTTCAGCAGCAAGGCATTTTCAACATGCAACATGTCTACGTTGAGTTTGAGGAAGGTATGTGTCAGGTGTCAGCAGAGGAGTTGTCAGCAGAAGATGAGACATGTTTGATACAGGTTTGCATGACAGAGAAGACCAGATATGAGGACGAGATAGAAGAGGTTGAAGAAACGGCATTGCGTAAAAAGGTCAAGACCAAGCTGAGAGCAGCAGAGAAGTTCAGGCAAGATCTACAGTTTGAGGAGAGCTTTCAGGTTGACGTCAGCGAAGTGTTCAGCCAGCCTAGGATCACAAAGGAGGCTGCTCGACAGAAGCTTAAGGTGGGTGGAGCATATGATTTGCTCACCGGCTACGACCTGCGCTGCCGAAAAGATCTGCAGCGTATGCGTCGAGCTTTGGCTGAAGATGAGCCAGAGCTAGTGACATGCAGCCCACCGTGTGGACCTTTCAGCCCACTGCAACGGCTGAACTTCCCCAAGATGAGCCCTGCTCGGGTGATGAACATTGTTGGAGAAGGTCTGCAACATGTCCGTACGTCGGCGCAGGTGTGTCGGCGACAATATGAGCAGGGACGGCTGTTCTTGTTTGAACACCCCAAGCCATCCAAAGCTTGGGAGGAGCCTGAGCTTGAAGCCTTGAGACGACTCCCAGGCGTGTTTGTGTGTCACTTTGACATGTGCAGATACGGCATGAAGGTGCGTCAGGAGCTCAACAAGAAACCCACCACTATGATCACGAATTCAGCTGAGATTGCGGCAGAACTTCAGCTGACTTGTAAGGGTGGTCATGCTCACGAAGCTCTCATGGGAGGCATTGCATATAGGGCAGCAGAATATCCTCAGGCTTTGTGTGAGGCGATCGTGAGAGGCTTGCGAAAACACCTGAGGAGAAAGCAGTTGCAGCAGAAGCCGGCAGAGAAGCAGATTACAAGTTTTGCGTTTGATTTGGATGAAGAAGAGGTTCCACGAGAGAGTGGGATAGGAGAAGATTCCGAGAGCGAAGGAGAAGACAAAGAAGAAGAGAGACAGCCACAGCCAGAGGTTGAGGCTGCAGTCTCTGCCGAAGACAGAGTGAAGCTTCGTCGGATGCATGTGAACATGGGCCATCCGAGCAAACCCAACTTTTTGAGGTTCCTCAGAGCGGGCCGGGTGCGGCCGGAGATACTCAAATGGGTAGCTCAGGAGTTCAGTTGCAGCACTTGTCAGAGTGCAGCCATGCCTAAGGCCCCACGGCCTTCGGTGGTTCCACGTTGCTACGCTCCAGGCGTGGCAGTTGGCTTGGACGTTTTCTTTGTGCCGGATGAGCAAAATCACAGATCCCTTCCAGTTTTGAACCTGGTGGATTTGGGCACAAACTATCAGATGGTGGAGGTTTTAGAAAACAAAGAGCCGATGCACATCTGGCGAACTATGTGGCGCACATGGGCTCGCACCTTTGGTCTTCCACAGTTTATTTCAGTGGATGAAGGCCGTGAGTTCAGAGGAGGTTTTTCGAGCATTTGTGCAGATGCTGGGGTCATAGTGTTCAGGGCAGCAGCAAGGGCACCATGGCAACAAGGAAAGGTCGAGAGACACGGCGGCTTAATGAAGGCGCTGCTGGAGAAGTCTCGGGAGGAGATGCCTCCTTCCACGAGAGAAGATCTGGTGGGCCTATTGCATGCCTGTGAGGCAGCCAAGAACCGGTATTCAAACAGGTCCGGTTTCAGCCCAACTCAACGACAGATTGGTCAGTGGCCGCGGATGCCCAATAGCTTGATGAGCGATGAAACAATTGACCCAGCCTTGCAGTCACAGACACAGACTGATGAGTTTGAGCGTACGCTCGAGATGCGGCGGGTCGCTCAAGATGCTTTCATGAAGCTTTCGAGCAAGGAGGCAGCAGCAAGAGCGTTGAGAGCCAGACCCAGGATCCAACAGGAATACAAGAGTGGTGATCTGGTCTATGTGTATCGCACCTTGAGGAGGAGAAAAGCAGTCAGGCATGGGCCAGCAGCCCGACCAGCACCATTGAAGGCAAAGTGGATTGGTCCTGGTCAAGTTCTGGCGTTGGAAGGCTCAGTGGTGTGGATCAACATGATGGGAGAACTATGGAGAGCAGCGGTGGAGCAGGTGAGAGCAGCAACCAACGAAGAGAGGCTTGGCATCGAAGTGATCTCAGAGGAGTGCCAAGAGATGCAGGAAAGATTGAAAAGAGGATCTCACAGAGCTGGGTATCGTGACCTTACCCAGGAACCGTGGCCAGAAGAAGGAGAAGGAGCTGAAGCCATCCAAGATGAGGTGGCTATTGAAGGAGAGATCAGAGGAAGGCCGAGGCTCAGGGTTTCAGAGTATGAGGCACAGGCGATCACAGACGGTGCAGAAGCAGAGGAGAACACAGCTGCAGCAGAGGAGAGGGCAATGGCGGACACCGCAACACCACAACTTGAGGCACAACGAGCAGAAAGACATGCATCACATCAGACCGTTGGAGAGCCTGAAGGAGAGGCTTCAGGAGCAAACACTCCTACGACTTTGAGCAGAGCAGCAACAGCAGCCACAGCAGCAACAGCAGCAGCAGCGCCATTGGATGAGGATCTGGCAAGACAGATGACAGAGTCAGAACAAGCCGTGAGACGTTTAGATGGTTTGCCAGATGCCCCGTATGAGGTCATCCGAGACAGAGTACAGCAAGCTCAGTGGAGAAGGAGTCTGCAGAGGCCATACTTTGCTGAGTATGAAGTGTTTGTTCAGGATCAAGCGATCCCAGAAGAAGAGGAGCAGCCAAAGAGAGATTATTGGGTGTTTGATGAACATCGAGCGGTCTTGCAGCGTCACCACATAGCATGGAGAAAGTCTTTGTTCAATCCAGCGTTTGCAGAAGGATGTCCAGTTCCTTTGAGAGCAGTCAAGAAGGGTAGAAGTACGCGATGGATCAATGACAAGGGCAAGGCAGAAATGCTAGAAGATGAGTGGTCGCTGTTCACGAAGAAAGAGGAGCGGCTGTCATGGTGGCGAGGAGTGACCGAATTTCCCATAGACACCCACTTTCTGGCAGATTCAGCACAGCAGAGGGCTGTGCCTAAGAAGAAACGCGGGGAAGGAGAGGTCTTCCCGCATGAGATTTCGGCTGAAGAGTGGCCGGCTTGGAAGATTCAAGATGAAGAGGAGTTCAAAAAGATTGTGGACAGTGGTGCTTTGCGTATTTTGAGTGTGGAAGAATCCAAGCAGATTTGGAAACAGTTGGAGGCTGAGGGCAAAACGGATCGAGTGATCCCTAGCAGAATGGTGCGGCGATATAAGCCTGGCGAGGGACCAGGTGCACCAAGGACCCGAAAGAGCAGGTTTTGTATCAGAGGAGATAGGGATCCAGACATTTTGTCGCTGTCAAGATTTGCCCCGACAGTCACCACTTCCAACTTGCAGGTGATTTTCCAGGCGGCAGCAAACAGAGGATTCAAAGGGGTGGTAGGAGACCTCAAGTCTGCCTTCACCCAGAGTCGTCCTTTAGTCCGCAGCCAAGGACCACTCTATTGCAGGTCATTTCACGGAAGCATGCCTGGTTTGGAAGAGGGCCAACTGGCCGAGATCATCTTAGGGTGTTACGGTCTTGTTGATGCCCCATTGAACTGGAGAATCACTTTGACGGATTACATCAAAGAAGAGCTCGGCTACAAGCAATCAAGTTTGGACCCTTGCACTTATTTGTATTTTGATCAGGAGGAGGCTGATGGCCCAATGGTTCTTCAAGGCGTGATTTCTGTGGAGGTGGATGATTTGCTTATGTTTGGAGGCGCAAAGCATGAAGCAAAGATACAACAGTTGCAGCAAAGGTTCACTTTTGGCAAACTGAAAGTGATAGATGAGCAAGGTGTAGATTTCAATGGCAGAAGGCTGAGGAAGGCGGGTCAAGATCTTCTGATTGACATGCAGGCGTTCGTGGAGGAGAGGCTTCACACTGTTCAGCTTACAGCAGAAAGAAGGAAGCAGAAGCAGGAACCCATCACCGAGGAGGAGCGGAGTCAAATCCGCTCGGTTTGCGGGGCTTTGAATTGGATTGGCCGAGAAGGCCGACCAGATGCAGCAGCGTCGGCATCAATGTTTAGCTCTATCATGAGTTGCATGAAGGTGGAGGATGTGCTAGAGCTGAACAGGGCTGTGGAGCAGCTGAAGGCAGATGCCGGTCTAGCTCTGCGCATTCAGCCCATCAAAGAAGAGAGATTGAGGTGGGGAGTCATCTCAGATGCCTCATGGGCGAATGCAAGGAACGGAAAGACTCAGGCCGGGCACATGCTGATAGCATTTGATTGCTCGCTTCTGGAGGGGCAGCGAGCCATTACAAATGTGTTTTGCACTGGCGGAGTGGAAAGCTGCAACGTACTGTGAACAGTACCCTTGCCGCCGAAACACAATCATTGGCAAGAGGAATAGGCGACTTGCTTTGGATGATGATAGTCTATGAAGAGCTCACAACCTATGAGTTTCAAGTGAGAGACTGGAGGAAGTATGTGGGCCGCAAAGGCTACAGTGCATTCACAAAGTTTGAGGAGGTAGAGAACGTGAAGGATGCACTGGCTCTAGTCGATGCGAAGTCGCTGTATGATTTGCTGGTGAACGAGACAACGGGCGGCTCAGATAGAAGGAATGCTCTGGACGTTCAAGTCTTGCGGGAGGAGCTGGCAGAACTGAAAGGGCATATCAGATGGGTTGAACATCTAGAGATGCCAGCTGACTGTTTGACGAAGAGGGTAGGGAAAACAGCTACCCTAAAGCGGCTTCTCACGGAAGGTGTCTTTGGCATCACAGAAGAATCTGCTGCGCTTGGAGCGAGACTGAGTGACCGCAAAGCTCATGGGTATAATAGACGGTAAGTCGAGTACAGAGTTTGGTCAAAAACACTTTTCCAGGAGCTGTGAAACCAGCTTGGCGTGAGCACCATTGACCAAACATGACTTGCCTGTTGCACATTTCCTGTCAGGATCGATGCATATCCGATCTAGCCTTTTGGTACGAGATCCAGCCCTTACGGGCCCCGTCGTGTGCGGAAAAGCATGCGTCCGTTGCCACAGTGAAATTCACAATATAATATATATATATATATATGTATATATATATATATATAATTGGATATGTATATGTACACAAAATAGACAGAGAGAGGTATCATATTAAAATTACAACCTGAATTACGAAGCCAAGCTTCGCGGTGATGGGCCTTGCAGGTTGTCTCTGACTCTGGGACCACTCAGAGGGCATTGCTCCCCAATGGAGAGATCAAGGCGGGCAGGAGACCGAATCCGGAAACCCGGGTTATCCCTGGTTTATGGCATGAATGCATACAAGATATTAAAAGATGGGGCATACAGTTTTTGGTGGTTTCGTCAAATATGTGTTCTTGTTCCAGAAATTGGACAATTCTGGGACTTGCCAGTAGACTTGCCTTTGAGGATTTCCCGACGGTTAATCATGAGATATCATGAGTATATGTTGCCATTCTTTCCTATCTTGATGCTTAGAAGTTTCTTAGGCTTGGGAAGACGAGAGAAGACAGAGATGCTTGAAACTACCGGCAATCGTCCAGAAAATGTTTCTCCCTGGAACAGATGGAACCTTTCAAAACGTAGAACTTTCCGGCCGCGTTTTAATGGATCTTTAGTCATAGTCCCAAACCCAGCCGGTTTGTTTTTGATTTTTTAGTGCGAATGATATTCCCATATTCCCATCATTAATCATCATTAATCATCATTTTTCCCACCTTTCCCCATGTTCACCCCATTGGTTTTTGGTGCCATAGATCGGGCTTCGACCCATTTGCTCAGGCCGACAGGGTTCCTCAAGATCCAGCTGAAGTGCTGGAGGAATTGGGGATGGATCAGGAACCACAGGATACCGCAGGGCAGGGTTGCAGCTGGAGCGATTCACAACTGCCTGCGAATCGCAGCCGTCCAGCGGCCCACTGAATGTCATGATGCTGATACGGTTCAGTTACAACTTGACGCTGTGAAATGAGTTAGCTTTGCGACTTGATCGAAGTAGATCCCATTGATGATTTGCTGTGTTGCGCTTCATGCTAGTCAGCACCATTCAGCTTCATCTCAACGAATTGGATGAATTGGGAGCATTCAGGAAACTGGAATTGTTTGATTCGTCACACGGACGGCTTGTGCCTTTGGTCATCGGGCCTCATGGGTTGCAGTCAGAGCAGCCGGCTGGAGTTTCAGAGGCGCAGAACAGAGAACTTGAACTGGGTTGTTTTTACAGAAGCAAGTGGATGATATACATTGATGTTTAAGTTAAGATTGTTCAAACAGCTACAAATTAATGACATCTGTAATTACTAGGACAGAATATATACCACATTATACCACAACCTTTTGGTCTGGCATGCTCTACATGTGCCATTTTATAAGGTTGCGTGTGTGTTCGTGTTTTTTTCAAAAGCACCAAATGCAAAAGCTACTTTATTTGGTCCGTGAAAACTGTGCTTTTCCCTGCATATTGGGGAAAACATGGCTAAACACAACCTTCTTGAGTTTATAATCTGGACAATCAGGGTTTTTTCCCATCTGTGTATGATTTAAAATGACAAATCATGGGTCATGCCCTGTGTCACTTTTAAGTTTGTCTTTTTCCCGAGAGCGTCTGAGCGCAGGGTTCTTCCAATAGTGGGGGTCTGTATCTCATCTTCTCATCTTCACACCTTCTCATCTTCACACCTTCTCATCTTCACACCTTCTCATCTTCACACCTTGTCATCTTCACATCTGCTCACCTTCACATCTGCTCATCACATCTGCTCATCTTCACATCTTCTCATCTTCACACCTGCTCATCTTCACACCTGCTCATCTTCACATCTGCTCATCTTCACATCTGCTCATCTTCACATCTGCTCATCTTCACATCTGCTCATCTTCACATCTGCTCATCTTCACATCTGCTCATCTTCACATCTGCTCATCTTCACATCTGCTCATCTACACATCTTCTCTTCACATCTGCTCATCTTCACATCTGCTCATCTTCACATCTGCTCATCTTCACATCTGCTCATCTTCACACCTGCTCATCTTCACATCTGCTCATCTTCACATCTGCTCATCTTCACATCTGCTCATCTTCACATCTGCTCATCTTCACATCTGCTCATCTTCACATCTTCTCATATTCACATCTGCTCATCTTCACATCTGCTCATCTTCACATCTGCTCATCTTCACATCTGCTCATCTTCACATCTTCTTATCTTCACACCTGCTCACCTTCTCTCACGCCTTCTTTTTATCTTTCTCTCTTAAGGCCGAGGGTGGTGCCGGCGGCGAGTCACGAAACGTCAACCCTTTCGCACGAAATGAGGGTCGATCGGCAAAAACTGAGGTAAAATTGCGATTTGACTGGTCCTGGAGTAACCCTTTCGCACGAAATGAGAGTCGATCGGCAAAAACTGAGGTAAAATTGCGATTTGACTTGTCCTGGAGCAACCCTTTCGCACGAAATGATGGTCGATCGGCAAAAACTGAGGTAAAATTGCGATTTGACTTGTCCCGGAGCAACCCTTTCACACGAAATGAGGGTCGATCGGCAAAAACTGAGGTAAAATTGCGATTTTACTTGTGCCGGAGCAACCTTTTCACACGAAATGAGGGTCGATCGGCAAAAACTGAGGTAAAATTGCGATTTTACTTGCCCCCGAGCAACTCTTTCGCATGAAATGAGGGTCGATCGGCAAAAACTGAGGTAAAATTGCGATTTTACTTGCCCCCGAGCAACTCTTTCGCACGAAATGAGGGTCGATCGGCAAAAACTGAGGTAAAATTGCGATTTTACTTGTCCTGGAGCAACTCTTTCGCACGAAATGAGGGTCGATCGGCAAAAACTGAGGTAAAATTGCGATTTTACTTGTCCTGGAGCAACTCTTTCGCGCGAAATGAGGGTCAATCGGCAAAAACTGAGGTAAAATTGCGATTTTACTTGTGCCGGAGCAACCCTTTCGCATGAAATGAGGGTCGATCGGCAAAAACTGAGGTAAAATTGCGATTTTTCGTGTGCTGGAGCAACCCTTTTGCACGAAATGAAGGTCGATCGGCAAAAACTGAGGTAAAATTGCGATTTATCGTGTGCTGGAGTAATCCTTTCGCAGGAAAAGGGGTTTGTGTGTACGAGCGTTTCTGTGTAAAGATGTTTGTGTGTAAAAGCGTTTGTGTGTACAAGTGCATCTGTGTAAAAGTGTTGTGTGTAAAACCTTCTGTGTGTAAAAGTCTTTGTGTGTAAACGGGTTTGTGTGTACGAGTGTTTCTGTGTAAAGATGTTTGTGTGTAAAAGTGATTGCATGTAAAATTGCATCTGTTTAAACGTGTTTGTGTGTAAAAGCTTCTGTGTGTAAAAGTGTTTGTGTGTAAACGTGTTTGTGTGTCGGAGTGTTTCGGTGGAAAGATGTTTGTGTGTAAAAGTGTTTGTGTGTACAAGTGCATCTGTGTAAAAGTGTTTGTGTGTAAAAGTTTTTGTGTGTAAAAGTGTCTCTGTGTAAAAGGGTTTGTGTGTAAGAGTGTTTCTGTGTGAAGATGTTTGTGTGTCAAAGCGTTTGTGTGTAAAAGCAGCTCCTGTGTGTAAAAGAGTCTGTGTGTAAAAGTGTCTGTGTGTAAACGTGTCTGTGTGTAAAAGTGTCTGTGTAAAAGCGTCTGTGTGTAAAAGCTTCTGTATGTAAAAGCTTCTGTATGTAAAAGCTTCTGTGGGTAAAAGCTTTGTGTGTAAAAGCCTCTGTGTAAAAGCTTCTGTGTGTAAAAGCTTCTGTGTGTAAAAGCTTTTGTGTGTAAAAGCGTCTGTGTGTAAAAGCTTCTGTGTGTAAAAGTGTTTGCGATGCACACTATTGTCTTGCACTTCTCACTATTTTGTCTTGATACTCCTCTTCTCGACTGCCTATAACACATCTTTCATATATTGTTTGTAAAATTGTGTCTCCATACTAACAAGAGAAGACCCTGCTCCTCTACGCTCTCGGGCCATCCGTCGTCTAGTTCCTTTATGACAAGGAAACAATGACTTCGACTGAACCATAGACTAGATCTTCATTTTATAAAGCACATTTGTTTCTATTTGGCTCTGTCATTTCACAACCCAAACATATCTAATAAAAGCGGTGGATTCTGATTTTAACGCGGTCCTTACATAATGCTGATACCCAAACTAAGGGTAAAGCTGTAAGGGGTATTATTATATGTATACATACATTATATTCACACATTTTTCCCCAACAGTGTAAGCTAATGGGGTCTTCAGCCCAGAATAGCTCCGGTGTGCACTGGTGCAGGCGCCAGTCAGGTTCGACGAGGTTCCGGAGAAGGTCTGGGAGGCTTTGGTGCAGAGCCAGGTCAGGTTCAACAGGGTTCCGGAGAAGGTTCTGGAGAAGGTCTGGGAGGTTTTGGTGCAGAGCCAGGTTAGGTTCAACATGGTTCCAGAGCAGGCTGCAGAAGGATCTGGGAGGCTTTGTTGCAGAGCCAGGTCAGGTTCAACAGGGTTCCGGAGAAGGTTCTGGAGAAGGTCGGGGGGGCTTTGGTGCAGAGTCAGGTCAGGTGCAAACAACAGAGGTTCCGGAGAAGGTTCTGGCGCGGTTCCGGAGAAGGTCTGGGAGGCTTCGGGTGCAGAGCCAGGTCAGGTTCAACAAGGTTCCGGAGAAGGTTCCGATGAAGGTCTGGGAGGCTTTGGCGCAGAGCCAGGTCAGGTTCAACAAAATTCCGGAGAAGGTTCCGTTGAAGGTTTGGGAGGCTTTGGTGCAGAGCCAGGTCAAGTTCAACAGGGTTCCGAGAAGGTTCCGGAGAAGGTCTGGGAGGCTTTGTTGCAGACTCAGCTGAGGTATTTCCAGCGCTTGGGTTGCAGCTCGCTTCAGAAAGATTTGTAAAAAAAAAGTTGCGGCTGTTGGGGATACCACCGAAGCTTATTTGAGGATGGGGGTTTCTCCAAGGAAGGGGTTAGTGAATGAAAAAATCATGGTTTTCTTCTGGTGTCCGGTGATCAGGTGCCGGTCGCTTGCTCTGCTTGTGCTGGCCTGGCCCTCGCCAGTGAAAATCCTTTTGGTTCACCATTTTCCCCAGCCTGATGGTGATATTTTGGGGTTGTCAGCCAATTTGGGATTGTAACGCCAATGACACTGTCAGTTTCTGAAGTAGCCTTCTGGATGGGAACAAACCACACACGGAGATGACTGTCACAGATCTGCAGATTGATGAGGTCTTGGAAGAAGCAGCGGCTTCTCTTGACAAGCATGAGCTTGGAATCTCGGGGGGGGGCATCGGCCCGCCCAGTCTGCAACTTTATGGTAGGGTACTGATTGGGCGCTTCTGAATCCTCCCCCATTGTAGATGATTTACCTCTAGAACGATGGGATTTTCAATTGCGTCAGGGAGTAGCGGAGTGGCCAGGGAGTCCAGTTTGCTCTGTCAGCAAAGCAGGTGACAACCAACAAGGGTATCCTAAAGCTTTCAGAGACAATCGTGACACCTTATCGAAATTTCACAACATGATCAACTGAAAGCTGTGAAGTGGCCATCTGATAATCACATATGGCCGCAGGAAAATCACTGGACCAACTGCTGAGATGGGATTTCTGGCACTGAAAAAACCTCCATTGGGGCGGTTGGGGATATCCAGTTGTTCAATGATTTCAGGCTGGTAGATTCAAGTGATTCATCTTGTTTTTTCCCCGCAATTTTGCAGCCAGATTTATCCTTTTAGTGATTTAAATTTCCAATATATGGATTTGTCTGAACATCGGGTACCCCTAAATTCATTGGCGAATCATCATTTTCCCTCTTAAAATGGAAATAAGTGAGGGTACACCCCATCTTCAGACGCCACCATTGGATGCGTCAGGCATTGTGCTAAATGGGCCAACTCCGGGGAATGTGAGGTGATGCAGCGGGACGATGTGGGGATGGGGATGTTTTTTTTTTTTTTTTATGAGGTCTAATCTACCCAGCCAATCTCAGCCATATTATACATATGGCAGTGGGTCAAAACCTTGTACCCCTGGTGAACATAAAAATAGCTGGTAAATGGATGTTCATCCCTCTAAAAATGGTATTAATAGGTATTGATTCATAGCCATACATATATATATATATATATTATAATATAGATATTGTGTTGGATACCTGGATATCTAAGATTATCGCAGATTAGCCATGTTGACACCAAAGTTGCACTTTCAATATGGTGATCATAACAGATGAAACGACATAGTGTGGCTTTTATTGGTGCCGCATGTTTGAGGCACACCGACTTTAGTTTAGAATAAACAATGATGGGAGCTTCGGCTTTGAACACATCGTGTCTTGCAGGGTTGAGAGAACACTCAGCCAAGAGTTGGACATATCCATGGGATGGTAGGGCACCTGGCAAGAGTGCTGTCACTTGTACCCGGCAGCCAGGCAAATCCCGGGTTCATGTGGAAGACCTGTGAGTCTAGCTGCAGTCGAACAGGCAAGGACCAGAAACCACCGCAGAGGGAATGATGCGTTGGAGAAAACACAATGGCTCCACGGGCATTATGATGCATTATGTAGATTTATATATAGGCCCTATAGGCAATATACCACTTAGTGGTGCAATAGACATGTTGCGTAGATACATCCACACGAGATTCAAAGAGGTGCTGTATGGCCATAGAACCAGCTGGAGTTGCAAGTCGCTTGGGGCTAGAAAGAGCCCACCCTGCAACAGCATGCCTACCATCATTGGCCTCATCCAGCATCGCCATTCTCCGTTCCATTCCACTACTTGTAGAGGATGGTGATGCACTCGCCTCTGTCAGGTGGAAGGAAACCGTGGGCCTCAGACCCGACGGCCGCATGGCGTGGATTGATGTGGATTGGTGTTGGGCCATAGACTTGCCAAGCCAGGAGAATATATGAGAAGATTAGCCAGTTCATGTGAACTACCCTCTGGTAAACTAACATAGCTATTGAAAATGGCCATAGAAATAGTGGATTTTCCCATTAAAAATGGGTGGATCTTTCCATAGCTATGTTAGTTTACCAGGCCGGGTATATTGAAAAATGAAGCAACTTCTGGGGAGGAATGATAAGAATGAATATGAATGAGACCTGATCATACCTCTGCCCAGGATTTTGCCATCAGCCCGTGCAGGCAGTGCGATGTCAGTCTTGGGTAAAGGCAGGGGAATGTCAGGCCTGGGGCTGTGGGTGTGGAGACATCCTCCATGGGGTGCCCATAGGGATCAGATATGGCCTCTTTGTACATAGGAGAAAGGAAGAGGGGGAGAAGACGCGGGCGAGAAGTGGGGGGACGATTGTGGGAGAGAGTGGAGCTGAGCATGGGCGAGAGCGGGCAGGAGCGAGGGGGAGGGGGTCGAAGAGAGCAAAGCAGAGAAGCGAGAGAGCAGCGGGGGAGACGGGGGAGAGGGAGTCGGGGGGGGGGGGGGAGCGGGAGACCTAGGGGAGGAGAGGGGCGAGAGACGCGGAGGGGAGACCATGTGGGAGAGAGACGGAGAAATGATTAGATTGGGGTTTTTTTAGAACGTGTGTAGTTGGTGGATTCCAGGACGTCAACAATATTTGTCAACAATAGCTACCGTCAATTGATTTTGCTCAACGATGTAGTTTATCTCATCTTTATACAATATATACACATATATACCCTCTGGTTATTTAACATAGCCATGGTATAGATGGCCCATAGAAATAGATGGTTTACCTATAAAAAATGGGTGGATCTTTCCATGGCAATGTTAGTCATAACCAGATGGTACACATAAAATGATGCTTAAATACATATATTATAAATGGCAGTGTAGATCGCAGTTCAGATGGCCTTTTTGCAGCAAATCTCGGTTGCGAAACAACCACCTGCCAGACCAATGCTGACTTCATGCTGAAGACCTGCCCTTCAAGCTGTCGGTATTCCAAGAAATCCCAGGAATAGGGTCCAGGTTGCTCAGGTTGGCCAACAAAGTTGAAGCATCTGGAATTTCCTGAAATTCCTATCCAAAGGAGCAAACCAAAATTCCGATTTTCTCTGGTTTGAAGGGCGACTCAAGATTGAGAAGTGATGCAACTCGAGCCCACCAGCAGGTATGAAATTACAGTCCTGGTTACAAATGGTGGCCCCCAACCCATGCGTCCTGTGGAAGACATTTTTCAGGTGATTCCGCGGCACCAGCTGGAGCAGCTCCTGCCAAGGAGTTTGATCAGCCGAGTCCAGCTCGGCAGCAACCGGCAAAGCCCAGAAATGTGAGTCGAAATTTGAAGGAGGACAGGGGTGTGAATCCCCTGGGGAGTTTCAATTTGGTGTGGTTATTCATGGTGATTCCCTTCGTGGACTGATTAGGGTGAAATGGCTTCGTCCAGAAATCAGGTACCCCATTCCATCTCATGCTTTGAAAGTTTCCTTTTGAAGATTGCAAAAGCTGCAATGAACATTGCCATTGTAGCTGCCAGGAAGATCATAATCCAATAATATTAAAGTGGATATTATAATATGGGAATAATAATAATAATAATCCATGATCATAATCCAATAATATGATATAATATGTCCTTTTTACTTCCCATTCCAGGAGCAGCAGCGGCAGCAGGAGGAGATCAAGCGCCGCGCGGAGCAGCTCCGCCGCGAGCGGCAGAACAAGACCCGGCGCGGAGCAGCGGCGACAGCCGCAGAGATCCCGGTGAGCACAACGACAACGACAGCGACTGTAACAACGACAACGACAACAACAACAACCAGAGCTGCAGCTGAGCTGGCTGAAGCTGAAAGAGTTGAAGCTGAAAGAGTTAAAGCAACTGAGAAAGTTGAAGAGATTCAGATTGAAGCAAAGGCCAAAGATGCCGAGCCGGAGGCTTTGAAACCATGGCAGATGCCAGCGCCTTCGGATGTTGATGATGTGGGAAGCTCAATGGGTCATTGAACGTGTTGCAATATGTTGCAGTATGATGTCTGGATTTCATACTCCTACTGTAAGATCTCGAAGGATCTCTCAGGTACATCACTGGATACATCTGGATACTAAAGCGGAGCAGCTATCTTGGGCATTGAAGTTGGGCTATGCCATGCTATTGATGGAAGTCAAAACCATTCACTGCCACTTACCTGTTCAGCTGAGGAGACGTTTAAATGCATGCGCCCCTTGGTAGCACAAGTGTGACAAATTGCCACACTGGATTATTTCTGACAGTTGCCGCATGACAAGGTTTGATGTACTGCACGAGCAGCTACCAAAACCCCAAAAGCTGGTGATTTATATTGGGTGTTTTAGTTTCATCAAAATGTCACAAACCAGAATGTGGATTTCATAAGATTTCCAGACGAAATTCGATCATTATTGCTCACTTGATAAAGACGTATAAAAAGCTTCCTCAGCGACTCGAGGCGAAAAGTTTGAGATTGCGCGTCAGCTTGATGATGCCAATGCACGTGCAGCACTTGGCGAGCGAGGTTGCATCAAAATCCGTCGAAGAGATGCGAAGAGTCGTTAGATATCCCGACTCAATCCTGACTGAAATACTGTCTCTCGCTGACTCAAACATCATGCCATAGATCGGGGTGTCTGAAAATATATGAAAATATGGTATAATTATGTATGATTACTAGCCAAAGGGCCATGTTCATGTGGTAAATGATGATTAATCGATTAATGAGTGGATTTCCCGAGGCGAGCAGAGCGTTCGAGAGAGGGCTGAAGCAGCCAACGGTGCCTGGGGCGCAGATGGTGCAAGCAAAAGTGTTATATTGATGAAGTTCATATACATACGGCTGTATTCATTTATATCATACCATATGTCATGTATTGTAGGAGATTTATCATTTATATAATATATCATCGTATATTGTATATCGTACATTATATGTCAACATCATACAGTATATCATATGTGTGGTATATCATAAACCACATAACGTATATTGGATATCATATATCAAATGTCAGATACTGTATCATACATTCTATCCTATATCACCTATCCTGTATGATATATTATATATCATATATCACGTATCATGTATCATATATCATTATATGGTATATCATATCTCATGTATCATGTATCATGAGTTATTTATTATATATATTATATAATATATCATGTATCACATCATCACATCACATATATATATAATATTATTCCCTATCATGTATTTCCATATAATATCATATCCTATCATAGTGTATCATATCGTATAGTATTGTATCATATATCTATCTATATATATATATGGACAGTTGACAGTTATATATATATCCATGTCTAAGTAGGTCACATACATAGACACACAGATACTATGTGACTGCTGTGATAGTCTGGGTGTGGCTGGGTGCTCACACTGGAAACATCACCAGGTCGAGCCAGTGCTTCAGAGCAACGCCACCGAGACTGTTTGAAAGACTTATCAGAGGCCACAGCCATCTGATGATGTTTTTTGTCATGTTGAGCCATTGTTTTTGAGTCTAAAGTGCCCGTGTTTTTGTCAATATAATGGTGATGTAATGTATCATTGATCATATATAACTATTTAATTAATACAATCAATATATCATATGTATACTGTATACATACATATATATATAATATCATATATTGTCATATATACATATATACACATACATACATTCACATATTATATATATATATAATATCATATATAATATCATATATAATATCATATATAATATCATATATATATATATACAAATACATACATTCACATATTATATATATAATATCATATATAATATCATATATATATACACATACATACATTCACATATTATATATATAATATCATATACAATATATATACACATACATTCACATATTATATATATATTATAATATATATATACACATACATTCACATATTATATATATATATTATATAATATATATACACATACATTCACATATATTATATATAATATAATATATATATACACATACATTCACATATTATATATATTATATTATATATACACATACATTCACATATATTATATATATATGATATATATATACACATACATTCACATATTATATATATATATATATTATATGATATATATATATACACATACATTCACATATATTATATATATAGAACGTTCTTTGAACAGTTGGTGTGAATCTGCCTCATTTGACTGTAGTTGCTATGTTTGTTGCTTTAGGTTCAAACAGGGTAGGATGAGTTGTAAGAAGTGCCGTCAGTGCAAGCCATTGCCTGACGATACTTGGTGCCTTGGGTGTGCGGCGTGGGAATCGCTGGAAACGGAACTAAAATCTCCCTGGTCTCAGGCGGCTTTGCGTGCAGCTGCCAACGACCTGGTGGTAGATACAGTCCGGGCCGTGCGATCCCTGCGATCCATTGCTTCCAGCCTTCACTCTGCTGAGAATTCTTCTCGTGCAGGGGCGAAGGCGGAACGCGGGAGGTCGCGTTCACCCCAAGGCACCGTAAGGCGTTTGCTGCCGGTGCCACCACCACCTCCTGTCCCCGTGAAGGAGCAGGAGGAGTCTAGTGAGTCGGAGGATCAGCTGGACTCCGACGAAGAGGAGGAGGTAGCTCCTGCTACCACTACCGCCGCTAAGAGCGATCCAGCCCGGCGACCACCTGAACCCAAGGGGCCTCCTCCCTCAAGAGAGCGGGAAGAACATCGGAGTGGTCAGTCCTCTGGCCATCATAAGTCAGGAAAGAAGAAGAGCAAAGGAGGGCATCATCGAGGTGGTAAAAAGCACAAACGCTTGTATCGGCAGCTTGAGAACCCCGACTTGGTGCTTCACAGGAGTTTGCCAGCCGCGTTCTGGGATCAAAGATCTGGACGCCAGGGCCGAGAGGCCCTTGAGCGCAGGAGGTAAGCAATGGATGCACTTGAGGAAGGTCGAGAATACTCAATTGAACGGCCTGCGGAATGGAGCTCTGTGAAAGTGTTGAGAGGAGATGTTTTGGAGGTTCTGCTGGCTTCGGCCGGGGCAGAATATCCTGCCGATCTTTGGGCAGGATTTCTGGCGTTGGATGTCTACACAAACATGTCAAGCGATGGGTCAATGGAGGTCAGAGTAAAAAGTCTGGGTTGTTCAAGTTCCGAAGTTACCAAACAACTGTCAGGGCTTTTCAACAGAAAAGAGGGCTATGTGCATTTCTGTGCCGAGACTCCTTGTGGAATCCCAGGCACCTACGCTCTACATGCAACTTGTTTTCGGAAGTTCAGCATCGCAGCCTTTCAAAGAGAGTACCTGTCACAGTACATGCAACGCCAGCTTCACAAGTGGGTGGCCGAGGCAGAAGGTGTGGAAGTCTCAGAAGGAGAACCCGAGTGGGACAAGTTGGAAGGAGATCCAGCGGCTGGAAAGAGAGACAAGAAAAAAGAGAAGGAGTTGAGAGAGCCTACAAAGCCTAC